ACCCGCATGAAACCTTTTCTAGGATAGACTACTTGTGATGGCGATTGGTCAGTGTGGTCTGGATTAAAGACCAAAGTCACTACGGGACTTTCAGCTACGACTCCCATCACGCCCTTCACTGACCCACACCAATCAAAGCCTCACTGTTAAACCAAGGACTGTGGGTAATGTAGTTTTTACAGCCTCGAAACGAAATCTTCAGGACAATGGTGGCGAGGCCTCATGGTGACTGGTGGGTGTAGCTGTGACTCACCTGCAGTGAGGCGGGCGCGGGTCAGCCAGGTGTCCTCAAAGCGAGCGCAGTGTAGCAGGAAGTGGCCCTGCAGGAAACCGTTGAGCGAGCAGAAGATTACGGCGCAGACTATGATGATCAGCGGGATGGGTCGTGCTCTGGTCAGGAAGGCGTAGATGATGCTCCTGAGGGACAAACTCATGTTACCTTCTCTTTGAACTTCACCACCCTTCAAAGTAAAAGTCTCCAATGATCTGCAACGACCCCCCTTCCAGTTTGACATGGAGCTCCCACACACAACAACCTTAAGTGTCAGTGGGTTAGAAAACCCTCCTTCAGCATCTGTTTGTGTCCCAGATAGAGGAAACTCCGCCCACGGACAGGTGTTTACCTCAGGACTGTCTCCCTGATTTTTTAAATAAACTCTAAAACATGAAACAGATGCATTTTGTTCAAACATCCACCCAGAATTCCCGGTTTCTCCATTCATCATGCCATGATGACATAATTCAACAGCATTTTGTCAGAATCACTGAGGTGCACGCCTTTGTGTCTGTGCCCCAGGTGAGTTATTAGTTATCAGCGAATGATTATCACTGTCAGAGTTACTGTTGTGATGTAACTACAGCAATGATCTTTTCCAGACGCGAGGTTAGCCGTGTCAGCAGGTCTCCTGCCTTCAACCTCCTGATTCAGTTCAATTCGATTTGATTACTGCCAATCCATAACAACAGTGGCCTCGAGGCGCTCTATATCGTAAGGTAAAGAATAACACAGAACCAGGCTCAGGGAGGGGCGGGGCCATCTGCTGTGATTGGTTGGGGAGAGAGAAGGAAGACAGGATAAAGACATGCTGTGGAAGAGAGACAGAGATTAATAACAGATATGATTCAGTGCAGAGAGGTCTGTTAACACATAATGAGTGAAGAAGAAACACTCAGGTCTGAGGTCTAGCAGGACAAGCACAGAGATGAGTCCACTGTCAGAGGCCATAAGAAGATCATTTGTGACCTTCACTAAAGCTGTTTCTGTGCTGTGATGAACTCTGAAACCTGACTGAAACTCTTCAAATAAACCATTCCTCTGCAGATGATCTGTTAGCTGTTTGACAACTACTCTTTCAAGGATGTTTGATATAAAGGAAGGTTGGAGATTGGCCTATAATTAGCTAAGACTGCTGGGTCTAGAGATGCTTTTTGAGTTAAGGTTTAACTAGTAGATAATGAGTCCAGTAATACAGACTGTGGTGGTTATAACAGGCTCCATTTACATGCCTCCGCTTCCAACAACTGTGGACTGTGAAATCACACCACAGCAGTGACTCCTGAACTGATCACCAAACTATGGGATGGATTTAACTATCACAGGTGGACTTCCAGCTGGAAGAAGCGGGATGGCAGCAGAAAAACCAACTTACACTTAAATAAATCAGCCCACTTTAACTCTAGTTCGTTTAGTGCAGTAGTGCAATAGTAAACTTAATATCTTGGGCTTTGAAAATGCCTAAAGTGAAGACAAGGAAGACGCAAGCTGAGCTGTTTAACGAGGAAGATGACACTAGCAAACCTCAACTAGCATCGAAGCACTGGAGGATGAAGAGATGCTAACCCGACCCGAGCCTGACACAGAGAGCATGGACATCGTAAACTTGGACCTGATAATGAAAGAACTGACAGAATTTAGGAGGGACAGCACCCAACAACTCAAGGCCTCTTTTGAGTAGCGGTTGCTGAGGAATGCATTGGAGGCTCCACCGGCGGTGGGAAGGGCACATTGTGCAGTGGAGGGAAACCACCCTTGGATGCATCTCCGACGTCCATTGTATCCAAAATGACCAGTTACAGGATGAGAGAAGAAATACTGAAGACAACTTGGTAAAAGTGTCGATTTCAATTCGACGGGAAGGTTGTAAATTTGGATGAGGTCCTGAAACAAAGAAGGCAGTACTCCGAGGCAAACAAAGTGTTAAAGGATAAGAAAATTCACTTCCAAGCTCCTTTCCTGCTAAACTCAGACTTTTCTATGAAGGAATGATGTTGTACGAATCCATGGTGGAAGCGACGAATGACATGAGTAGGGTTCCGGTTGCAGCTCTGAAATTCCGTACCACGCTCCTGGAGAACCCCAGGGTCCACACTTTCCAGTAAAAACTCCAGGTTTTTGCAGCAGGACCAGTAGGAATACTGCGATGCAGTGGAAAGTAGATATAACCGCCACAGGGTGAGTCTTACTGCTCTGTTGATGTCTAATATATGACCACTGCATAGTTGGAAACTTAAGCACATACAATGAACAGTGAACTATGAACTATGGCAGGACTTACGCAGACCCCAGCAGGACTTTACACACTTTTCTAACCCGCATGAAACCTTTTCTAGGATAGACTACTTCCTAATTTTCAGTAAAGACCTTCATACAATATCAGACTGCAAAATAGGAACTACGGATCAGTCTGACCACAGTCCCGTATGTTTCAATCTGAACTTGGAGTCAGATTACAGAGACGTTGTGGAGGCACAGAGCCAGCTGAAAGAGCAAATAAAAATCGATATCAACGAATACAACAGAACGATAACAGTGAGCTTGATCCTCCAATTCTTTGGACTCCGGATTCAGGTCTCAACAAACTGAATTTAATCAACTAAAAGAGATTTTTAATTGCTGGACAATAACTCCAAAGGAAAAGGGAACCACAAATTAAAAGAACAAATAACGAGGAAAAAGAAGAAATAGATGTGATCTATACAAAGGACATAAAAAAGTGTTTTTAATTCAATTCAATACATAAAATTAGGAATTCTCAAACCAATCGGATCCATGATAAATTACAGGACAGTCAAAGATGTGCATCCTCAAACTGCACGTGATCAGGCAAAAGTGGGATTTAACTACGTCTGGAAGTGGCTCACTGAGCATTCGTGAACATTTTACGTTTTGTATGCAAAGTTTTAAACCCAGTATTTTAAAGTGTATGCTTCTCTAAGCTCGTCTGTTCATTATTCTAAAAAGTATAACCTTTTGAAACAAGATTGTTCTTTGTGTTAAACACTATAAAAACAAAACGAACTGAGTGGAGAGCACAGCTGGATGTACCGATCCCTCCAATGATGAATCACTTGGGAGAACACGTTTATAATAACTATTGAGACAATCCTGAACTTGATCCCACTGAAAGCCAAACGTTTCCCAACATGCTGGCACAGACTGCAGGGTGTGCCTGTCAGCAGCTGGTATAAGTAAGTGCACATGATATATTCGCTGTCACTGGTAACAAAGAGTTTGTGTGGCTGAATGCAGCCCTGCAATGAGAGCGAGCTCCGCCTGACTGCTCCAACAATAATGGAAATCTTTCTGTAATCACCTCAGAGATTTCTTCTGTTTGTCCGGTTTAGGGTGACATTGCAGCCAGGAGGCTCTCTTTAAAGGCTCCAGGAGAGAACAACCAGGAAAATGTGCAGTAGGTGTTTAACTGAGGTTAGAGTTACCTGTTTTAATGGAAACTCGTTATTTATGCTAGTGACAGTTTTGATCATAGTTTATAATATGGCTCAGTCGCCCATCCATCCACTCATTTTCTTCCACTTATGGAAGCCCCCATGGCCGGGTTATGGGGACAGCGGCATAAGTAAGGATGCCCAAACCCCCCTCTCCAGTTTATCCAGGGGAACCCTGAGGCGTTCCAAGGCCGCCCTGGGGCCTCCTTCGGATACGCTGAAACACCCAGGAGGCCTCCTAGTCAGATTCCCAAACCACCTCAACTGACACCTTTAGATGTGGAGGAGTAGTGGCTCTACTCTGAGCTCCTCAGCCTCTCTCTGAGGGAAAGGCCATCCACCTTGTGGAGAAAGCTCATTTCTGCAGCTTGTGCCGCTTGTGATCAAGCTCATGATGAAGGTGAAGGTCTGGAAAGGGGCCCGGGGGTGTGCTCCAGCTATAGGGAGATCACACTCTTCAGCCTCCCTGTGAAAGTCTTTGCCAGGGTGCTGGGAAGGAGAGTCCATTCGTTAGTCGTACCTAGGATGCAGGTGGAACAATGTAGTGGTTGTCACCTTCGAGGAAGAGTAGTCCAGCTCTTTACCTTCTCGAGGTACTCCAGGGTGCATGGGACTTTGCCCCATCAGTCTACATGTGTTTTGAGGACTTGAAGAAGGCATTCAATCGTGTCCCTTGGAGTGTCTTGTGGGAGGTTCTTCAGGAGGTGCTTTAAAGCTCTCAGTTCACCAGTCGGTCTACGCCCTACCCTGACCTATGGTCACGAGCTGTGGGTAGTGACCGAAAGAAGATTGCGGATCAGGCAAAATGAGCTTCCTCCGAAGGGTGGCTGGCATCTCCCTTAGAGACAAGGTGAGAACTTTAGCCATCCGGGAGGGGCTCAGAGTGGAGCTGCTGCTCCTCCCATCAAAAGGAGCCAGTTGAGGTGGTTTGAGCGTGTCCAACTGGGAGGAGGCCCCAGGGCAGACCCAGGACATGCTGGAGAGATCTCTCGGCTGGCCTGCTGTAAAGGCTGGAGGAGGTGGCCGGGGAGGGAGGGCTGGGCTTCCTGCGTGTTTTAAAGTGATGACTTTGCTTTGTCGCTGTTGTTGGGCTCTCTCTGCTGTAGTTTTGTTTTAGTTAGTCCACCCAGACATGTGTGCCACTGTGAACGATTGGGAGGGTGGACTAACTTCTTTATTTGTTTTTATGTTTGTTTGTTTGTTTGTGCCACATCCCTCTACAAACCGTACAGTTGGATATCTCATTTTATATCTTCAACTATAAATACAGAAAATAAATAAAATGCATTGACATGGAATTTTATTGTTGACACTCCATATACGAATACCACAGAAATGTGTTCTTATAACTGCAGGAAGAACAGGAAGCCATGTGGGCGTATCGCCTGTATCGTCTGCCGAGACCACCCTCAGCAGCGCGAGAGGCAAAACAGGAGGATGGAAGAAAGCAGAGATTTTTAAAAGGTGACAGTTTTCCTTCCATGACGGCGCCGCTGCAGTGCACGCGCTCCCGGGAGCGGTGACGTTAGTGACGTTAGTGCGTCGCGTCCATACCATGTAGTACTGTTATATGAATCGTAAAACCATACAGTAATGTTTATAATAATGTGTGTACATTATGTTACAATAAGTTCCTACTTGCACATTATCTTTTGGTTTAAATACTACCAGTGCTTTAATTTGATTATTTT